CCCGAGCTTCACTCCCCTCTGTCCCTCTGTCCCTCTGTCCGTCTGCGCAGACCTGGGCTCGTGGCTGCCGGCCTCCCTGCTGCCGCCCTCTCCCAGCCAGCCCGTGGCCCTCAGGGTGCTGCCCAGCCTCTTCACGCAGGACATGAAGACCGCAGGTCAGAGCTGCTCTCGGGCCCCCTCTCCGTCCGTCTGCTCGCGCTGTCCCATCTCTGGTGTCCTGTCCTGGTCACGCCTCCGCGGCGGGAGATCTTTGTCTTCTTTGCTTGCCATTTTTTCCTCGGGCACGCGCGGGACGCCTTGAAGGGGCTGTAAGTGCAGATGCGCCGCTCCGCACCGGAGTTCCACTCTCGGGAAATGGTGTTCAGCGTTGTTGTAGGCGCTGGTGCTCTCCATGTGACCGGGGCCACAGACGAGTTCAGGAATTCAGCACGGCCTGTCTTGTGGGTTGTCTTACAAGACACTTGGCACAGCGCTGCTGAAGCAGCAATCCACCGCAAGCTCACTACACACGTACAGGCAGGAATCTCTGAGGTGGAAGTGCAGAGCCCTTGAGTAACTCTGTTTTGGTATCTTATCCGGTGATACATTTCCGCGTGTGGAGGTCTGGATGGGCGGTGTGTCGTTTGTCTCCCCAGACAAGCCCGAGCTGACGGAGAAGGACCTGCGGGCCATGCTGAGGCGGCACCGAGAGAAGAGGAGGCACCAGCCTGTGAGTCGTGCAAGGCCTGCCGCCACGCTGGCTCACAGTCACACACACACACACACACACCTGAAACAGGTGGCTCGCGCACACCTGGTCCAGAGCCTCTGTTCTTTGTTTGTGTGCAGGATCGCCCGGACCTGCTGACCTCGGACCTCAGTCTAAGTGACATCGTGTCACGAGTCAGTGCGGGCCGGAAGGGCTCGATCATGGGTGAGTGTGCTCTCCCCCGTTCCGGGTCCTGGAGCCTGAGACTTCAGGTTTTAATTCTAGTAGAATCGTTTTTTTCTTTTCTTGTACGCCTTCATAATTTTTTTATTAAAAAAATGCTTACTTTTTAAGGTGGTCCTAACGTTAAACCTCAGTTTAAATGTATTTTATCATTAAATTTAATTCTTAAAAACATTTTTAAGATTAAAAGCAAGGGCTTTAAGAGTAAACCGATCATTCCTCGGAGTGTTTTTAGATCACAAATCATTTCAAGCCATTTCCACATGCAGCTGGGTGGGTGTTCAGTGCAGATTTCAGTGAGTCTGAAGTGAAACGGAAACCGGTGCCCGGGGGCGGGCTGGTAAGGACGTGTTGCGTCGTCCTTTCTGCAGCTCTGGTCGACCTCGGGGTGCCCAAGAAGAAGGCGAGGGAGGAGAAGAGGAAGAAGAAGATGAGGCCGGTCAAGATGGAGCCGGAGGACCCATGTGATGTCCTGGGGCCCCCCGACGCCCCCCCAGCGGCTGCTGCGGCGGCCACCGTGGCCGTCGTCTCCCCGGAGCCCCCCGCTGCCCCCCTGGCTGGCGTGAAGGAGGAGTGAGTGCCGGGACTCCGCCGTGTCCCCCCGTCCCTGGCCCTGCTCTCTCTCGGCTCGCCTCTGCTGGCTTGCTCCTCCGCGAGTCCGTCTCTCCCTGCCTGTGATTCCTGCTCTCCTGCTAACCTTTAAGAGGACGTCTGAAAATGAGGGAATAATGGTGCCTACACGACCTGCACTGAGCCGCTCTGTATGAAACAGTGCTGCCGTGCTTGTCCCAGGGGTCACTCGTGCACCTGTCCCGTACCGGACTTCCCCTGGGGATGTTTCCGTGTCCTCACGCCGACAGTGAGCGCTCGGTAAAACAGGGCTCGTCCTCTGGCTCACACTGAGCCTGAGGGCTGGCGAGCTTCCTTCCCATGTTTCATCATGACCTCTCTCCCTTGAGATGATTAAAGATCCCTGTGCTGATCACCCATGAAGCCGCTCACTGATATAATATAATATATATAAAACGAATATAATTTTGTCTCCAAGCCTGTTGTCCCAGATCATGACCTGGTCTTCCTCCGCAGGCCGGTGGAGGAGGTGCACAGCAGCCC